CTCCAAATGGTTCTCTAGATTTCTGATTTGAAAAATTAAGCAAATCTCAATATATGTTCTAATCATGCAATTTTACTTCGTGTTTAAAAGAAGCTCACCATAAATTCTTGCACATTAAAATTATAGAAGCCACCCTTTTTTATTCCCTCTATACAGCCCAGCTATTTGCAAGGGAATCATCTTACGCCTTGGTGGCCTCCAAAAACAAGGAGATCTGGTGCTTTATGTAAGGCTGCCTCAGGATGCTCCTCACAGAGGGTCTTTCTTCAGGCCTTTTGCTCAACATTGTTCTTATCAGTTCTGCCAGCTCCGGGCTATAATCTTTTGGCATTGGCGGCAGCTACAAAGAGAAATAACACAGCAATTATGACTAGTGGTCTTGTGAGGCAAAGTAAATGAAGGCAGAGATTTTCTAATATTTATTTCAAGCCACTATCTGCATAAGCAGAAAATAACCAATATATTAATCTACAGAAAGTGTACTGGTGTCCTGGTTATAACAGCAAGTTGTAAAACTGTAAAAGTATGTCCTTCAAACCAGCTGTGCCACTTAAGGACTTCAGAAATAAGGGTATGAGTTCCTAAAGATTTATGTATCAGGATATTCACTGCAGTATCATTCTTGCGGTAGTTAAGAAACTGGAAACAACTTAAATGTCCATCTATAGAGGACTTATGGAATAGACTATGGTACAATTCTTCTAATAAAATACCAGGCAGCCTCTTAAAAAATAAAGACTTAACAGGTACCAACCTGGAAAGATGTCCTTCATATATTAAGTCAAAAAAGTGAGTTGTGTACCAATATGTACAGCCTGATTCTGTTTCAGCTACTTTTTAAAAGTATCTGTGTGTATATGTGCATATGTACACCTAAAGTTCTATCTATTTATGACGTGAAAAAGTCAAAAAGGCTATGCATCAAATTATTAGCAATGGTTATCTCCAGGGGATGAAAATGGAAGGGAGAGGGGAATTTTGCTTCTTTCTTGTTTGATTCTTTAAGTAGTAGAATTATGGACAAATTTTATGTTTTTCAATATTTCTCAAAATAAAAAATTAAATGAGTCTTGGTATAATAGAATCAATAGGTAATTTATGTCCTTAAACTTAATGGTGTGTAGATGCTTAACCTTGCAGAGGGCAACTAGCCTCATGGAACTAATATATAAAGTTGGTCACTGTGGCATTTATATCATACACAATGCTTTCTGCAATTCTTAACTGATTTCTAGTGATTGTGATGATTATCAAAAGAGCAATGAGTGCAAACAGAGTGGACTCATTTTAAATGGGGCTCATTTAATCATAAGCTGCCTAGAAGAAACTACCAATAGTCTCTGAGGGCACCTGCACATCCTGTGGCGACAGACAGTGGTTTTCAAAAAGCCAATTCCTCAGAACCATTAAGTCACTTTTATAAATATTAAGAAATGATCAATTCCTTTTCCTCTAGTTCAACCTTCCCCACAGAAAGGACCTACCATTCTTAAATATCCACCCAACATCAATGATTACTCACTTTTACTAGTAGCTACTTACAAAGTGCACTTAATTAAACTTGCTCCAAATATTAAAAATAATTAGTTCCAGAATATTCTTTACCTTTCCTTCAATAATCCGATAAACTAAAGAATTCATGTCTTTTGCATTGAAAGCATGCTTCAGGGTAGCCATTTCATAAACACAGCATCCTAGAGCCCAAACATCAGACTAGAAAAGAAAAATAGTAAATGGTTATATGTCAGAATACCTTATTTATATTTTTACTCTTAAAAAGAAAAAGACATTTTCCTTAAACCAATTCATAGAGGATTCTTTGATTTAACTACTCTGATGGGCTTTGAAATTATGAATACTGTCCTAGAGACAGTATGAGCTGGTGCACACAGCCCAACCCTACCTTATAGTTGTAGGGTTTGTTTGAGAACAATTCAGGGCTCATGTAGTAGGGTGTGCCAATGAGGGTGCTAGCCATATCACAGTGGTTCTCTAACACTCGAGCAATTCCTAGGTCACCCACTTTGATGATGTTTGTTCTTGTCAGGAAGACATTTTGAGTTTTCAGATCTCGGTGAAGGATGTGTTTTTCATGTAAATACTGAAAAGAGAAACAAAATTTCATTAAATATCAATATATTTATCTACTTATTTATTCCTGACTTCTTATATATCATCAATAATCACATGAGTTAATTACATATTAAAACACTATTATTTTATATTCTCTAAATAAAAAGTCTAATTTGCAATTTTCCACAGTAAAATAGATTAAGTTCCATGCATTAATTTGCCCAGTGTCATTCACAATTGTTCTCTGGTACTTTGACCATTATACTGTTTATCATTATATGCATTCAGTTAAAAAAAAATGCTTACAAACTCCCGCTGATGGTAAGAAAGCAATTTATACAAAGTCAGATGAACGTTCTTCTTGAACTCATAAAATCTTCAGCTTAATGTTTTCAAATATAATAAGATCACTTTTATTTAGAGAGAGTATCTCAGAATTTAAACTACAAGGTCAATTAATTCTGGACAAATGTGCCCAGTTCGAGAGGTATTTCATAAAAGTCTCGCTTTTGAATTAAGTATATTAAAACACAAACATGTTTTGCATTTCCACACACTCTGCCACAGGGTTAAAGCCTAAATCCCCACAGTTTATGCATATTCATTAGCCCAGCCACCTTGGACTAATGACATAGCTGACTAGCTGATAACAAACATGGTTGTTCTTTTCTCTTTATCAACTCAGGGCCCTTAAAATGGACTTTCCTATAAATAATAAACTAATAGAGCATTGGCTTCCTCTCCAATTCGACATGAAATCCATGTCTACTTCAATATGGCTTTCACCCATTCAGAAACATTCCAGTGCTAGAACATGAGCAACTGGGTCCACTTCATAAATGGATTTTCAAAAAAATACATTTTTTGCATGTACTTGGGGAAATTTTTTCCTAAAATATGCCTGCCATCCCCCCTCTTCCCTTGGAGCAAGTGGGATACTGTGAGTCTGTGAGTCTGAACAGTACCTGCAGAGCCATAGCGATCTGAACAAACCACTCCACCACTTGACTCTCAGGCAGAAGCTGCCCTTTCTGCTCCTTGAGCTTTCGGTACAGATCACCTCCTTCGCAGAAGCCCATGACGATGTATAGCCGACCGTCCCCTCCCTCCCACGACTCCTTGTAGGTGACAATATTGGGGTGCTTCAGCTGAGATAATAGCTGGGCTTCCTGTTCAGCAGCTCGCCGCTCTCGGCTGGAGGCATTTCGGAGGTTCAGTTTTTTGATGACGTACTGCAGAAGAAAACGTGTTTTTACAATGCACAAATAAACCAGTTTTATAGGTTCAAAAGTAGTTAAGGGTTCTCCCGAATGTCCTCGAAACCAGTCTTCTGCAGCCTGTCTAATAACCTAGTCAAAGCACAAAATTGGGAAAAACATTTGCTATCATTAATGGTACTTTTTACATGTTAAACTTATAGCAGGATAGGGGTCACAAAAACTTTCTGCAGACAGAACGGGTCCACGGGTTGCCTTAGATACTCAAAGGGATCCATAACCCAATATAGTTAAAAAATCACTGACTCTCAACACACAAAATTATTCCCACTTAAAAAAAAAAAATCAATATTCTCTAACACCTAATACACTGCCCTCGGTCAACTAAAAAGCACAGAATTCATTATTCGATGAACATATACATAAATGTGTTTTGTAAAATGTAAATTACTGAGGGGTTATTATTACAGCTAGAACCCCATCCTTGACTCAAAAAATTCAGTGACCCTCCCTTCCCCCTTTGACTATGGAATAAATCTCTTATGCCTGACCTTTTGTTCCAGGCAGAGCAACCAACACCTGAGACAAGGCAGAACAGGCAAGAAGGCTTTATACTTAGGGGCATATCTCCTCTAAGTTTGTCTGAGGCAGTCCTGTTGTCTTGGTGTAATTATTAGTAATGTCTCCTTTCAGTTTCAAAATTGCCCGTTTGTACAATATGGTCACCCTATTTATAAACCATATTAATAACTAGCTTGTTATCCTGAGGGTAATGAGATAAAATGCTTTAAGCAAAGGAGTGGCGACATTAGATATAAATTTTGGGACGATCACTGAAACTGCAATGACAGGGATGGATTGGAGAAAAGCAAGTCATGTGGCAGGAAGACCAGTGGGAGGCCCTGACAATAGTTACCTAGAGATAACAGTGTCCCAGATTGGGGTGGTAGCAGTGTAGATGGAGAAGAGGCCTGTTGGCTCAGTGGACAAATGAATGGGGGTGGAGGAGAGAGGGGAATCAAGAATGACTTCCAGGTGTCCAGCTTGGGCAACTGGCTGGTTGGTGGTGCTACTCACTGAAATGGGGATAATAAAAGAAGGTCTGGCAAGGAGGTGATGAGTTTTAAGTGAGTCCAGTAGTCTCCAGATCAGATGTATGAGGCCCGTTGTTCAAGGAGTAATATTTGCCAGGTGCTGTAGAACTATAGGGTGTTTATTCGGGGTGCATATTACGGGACGGCATGGCCTAGTCTTGGTGGTCTGGGGCATTTGCCCTGAGGAAGTGCCATCAGAGATGAATACCCTTTCAGACCATCCCGGGACCTAACCTTTGGATGGTAATGGCCTCTGAGAATCCCTGCGTGCCCCTCACCCCCATGACGGGCCCGAAATCCGCCGACCTGCCTGCCGTCCCGCCGGTGCCTCACGAGCGTCACCTCCCCGTAGCTGCCCTTGCCCACGACCCGCAGGTAGCAGTAGGCGGCCAGGGGCATGTTCCCGGCGCGGGCCCACAGTCGAGATGCGGCGGCGGCGGCGGCGGCGGAGGGCAGGGCAGGAGGCCACAACAGGACGCCCGGCTCATGTCCGAGAGGCTGCGGTGCCTGTGGCTGCGGAGGCAGCCGGGCCCGGGCCCGAGCGCTAACGGGCACACGACGACGCCGCTGCCATAGCGATCCCCGCCGGCGCAGCCCCGCGCATGCTCCGGCGGCCCGGGAGACTCCACAGAGCCAAGGTACCAGACGGCTAGAGTGGTCCCGCCGTCTCCGGAGGACCCGCCATAGAGCCGAGGTGCCAGGCGGCCAGAGCGACTCCTCTGTGCCCTGAGGCCACCCTCCGCCTCAGCTCCGCTGCCGGGAACTTCCGGGTTTCCGGCAAAATATAAGGTCTAGGAGTCTTCGGCTTATTGAGCACTTATATTAAGCGCTTTGCAAGTGTTATTCATTCATTCTGCAAATATTTATTGGCCGCGTACCGTATGCCAGACCAACAAAGTCCCTGCCCTCACGGAGCTCACATTCTAATGGGAGCCATGGTGGTGACAGACTAAACTCTTAGAAGTAACATTTGTTTTTTCCCCTTTGTCACATGTTCAGCAATCCAGCTTATTTTTTACTCACTTCAGAGTAAATTAGATATATCATTACACCTCACTTCTAAACACTTCAGTTTATGTGTTGAGAAGTGCAAGGAACTCTCTTAGTGCAAGGACCTCCATCCTTTCCCCACCCCTACCCCGCACTAAATGACTTGACCAAACTCTGGCATGGCTTCTTACAGCTTAAGGCAGTGTCCCTAGGAGGACCCCCGCCACCCTTAAAAGACCTGCACGTGAAAGCCCAAAGCTGCCAAAAGAATTTGTAGTTTGCACCAGCTAACACCTCCCTTTCCTAGAGCATTTGCAAAGCTTGCAATTGTAAAGTTTGTGTCCCTTTGAGAGGATAGATAATTACTTACCTTCTACAACCCAGGAGTGTCTTTCTCAAGGACCTGAAATTCATGCCTTGGAAATGTAAGATTTCTTCTGCCTACGCCCAAGAACCAAATTTGCCCAGTTGGGGGCGATAGTGCCTCTGTTGAGAATGCATAATATAGAGCATACCATTACCTTGAGAAGTTAATTCATGCCCCTTCCCCCTTCCCAGTTAATCCCTAGCCTCCTCCCATAGTGCATTAGATCATTTAATCTTCACATCAACTCCGTGACGCTGGTACTATTATCATTCTTATTTTAAAGTTACGGAAACAGAGTCTCTGAGAAGTTAAGAAATTGAAAACAATATTCTAGAACCGCAGTCCCCAACTTTTTTGGCACCAGGGACCGAAGCGCCTATGAGAATCTAATGCCTGATGATCTGAGGTGGAGCTGAGGCGGTGATGCTAGTGCTGGGGAGCAGCTGCAAATACCGATGAAGCTTCACTCGCTCTCCTGCCGCTCACCTCCTGCTGTGTGGCCCAGTTCCTAACAGACCACAGACTTGAATCTATCTGTGGCCCAGGGGATGGGGACCCCTGGTCTAGAAGACTTAGGGCTTGCTCACTCCTAAACTCCCCTATAGTCACTTGGCCCCACCTGCCCCCAAGAAGGCTTCCTGGAAAATGACTCATATTCCTTAGATGCTTTTCTTAGCCTTCATCTATCTCTCTTATCAGCCTTTGTACCTCTGGGGAATCTTCTTGTTTCTTGGTTTCTAGAACTTTCCTGGTTCTCCTATACCTCTTGTCCACTCCTGTTCTCTTTTGACTGCTCATGCTCCCCTCAGGTTTGAGATATTCCAAGGTTCTGTGCTCTGCCCTCTGCTTTTTACCTCCCCCAACTTACTCTTTGTCAAATCCATCATTCACTCTACAGACATTTAGTATGGGCCTGCATAGTGTAAGGCTGGTGCCTTGCCCTGGAGAACAAAGTGAATAAGACTAAGTCTTGCCCCTGTGAGGCTTATAGTCAAAGAGGGAGATGGCCATTAATCAATGAAGCATATAACAAATTATTCTCGCCAACTGAAATCAATGCCATGCAGAAAGGTCACTGAACCCAGCCTAGGCATCCAAGGGAGGTTGCCCCAAGCAAATATTGCTTGGGCATAAGTTTGAGAAAAAAAATTTTCAGGTAGAAGGAACACCATGTGCTAAGGCCCTATGGACTTGTTTTGTGACTCCATCTCCACACCTTAGTGTGAACTCCCTGCGCACTGAGCTGGGCCTGCTTACTTCAACACCTTAAACCCAGGCGTTGGCATGAGGCTGGCACCCAACAGGTGTGAATGGATGGACTGGGGATTGATAAATAATTGCGTGGAAAAGCACCTGCCTGTATGGATCAAGAAAAAGTATGGTTGAAGTTGAGAGAACTAGAGGGGCTATGGCTATGAGATGGAGGGGCAGCTGGGGCCAGACCACTTAAGACCTAGAAGTGTGTTAGATAGAGAAAGGACTAGAGCAAATCAGCCTTTTAAAATGATGATTCTGATTGCTTCTAGGAAATAGTCTGTAGGAGCAAAGTGGAAATAGGGAGAGCAGCCATGTAGGAGCAAAGTGGAAATAGGGGAGCAAAGTGGAAATAGGGAGAGCAGCCATTTAGGTGAGAGATGAGGGTGGCTTAGACTCAGTAGTGACTGGGGACTTGGAGAGAAGTAAATGGATTAGAAAGATATGTTAAGGGTTGGAGGTGGGGGTAAGTGTAGGTGTTCTAAGGGAGGGATACATCCAATATGCCACCTAGTTTTCTGGCTTGGACACCTAGGTGGAAGGTGGTGGCCTTTATTGGGGTGGACAAAAAGAGAGGAAAGCTCAGCCTTGGTGGTGGGGTACATACAGCAGGGGGAGAGAAAGGTCATGAGTTCAGTTTAGACATATCAGATTGAGGGACTCTGAGAAAATCAAGCAAGCAGTTGGCTGTGTGAGTGGGGCTGAGACCAGGTCTGGGCCTGTGTGCTGTCCTGTTGCACCAGCGGCACAGCCAACCTCTTAGGCCCCCAGGTTCAACCATCAGCAACCTCAGTTGCTTTCTGTCCACCCATCTCCTCACCTACCATATCCACAGAGTGACTCAACCTATCCTCTAATATGGGATCAATAACATTATTCATCTTTTGAGGGTAGTTGTGAGCAATAAATGAATTAAGACACAAAAGATGCTGAGAAGTGGGCCAGGCACTAGTTACTGTTAGCTCTCCTCACAACTTCTCTCCTCCTCAGATCTCACAAACATGTTTCCAGAACCTTTTATGGACTAGACTTGGTGCTAGCCATCTTTCAACACCGAGTCTTGATCTCACCACACCCTTGCTCAAAATGCTTTAGTATTTCCCTTCCAAAAGACTGGCCACTTTCAGACCCCTGCACTGTGGAAGTTGAGCTCCACCCCTTCCAGATATCTACAGCTCCTTCATACTCCTCTTTCACTTCTGACCTCTCCGGGGATTCACTGGGTTTCCTTTAACATGTCTGACTTCTTTTCCAAGGCATCAGCTCACTGAACACAGCAAAGCACTCGAGTTTCATCATTGTGGTATCCCAGTGCCAGGTACTGTGCCCAACCCACCACAGGGCTCAGTCCATACTGATGCAGAAAAATAGAACCTCAGATGAAGTTTTATGTTGATCCAGCTCATCTTTCACAAAGGCCAGAAAACAGACCAGAAGGTCATTCTGGCCTGGGGACAATAAACTTTTTCCCAGAAACTGCTCTGCAAGACAAAGTCCGCGACAAGCAAACAGAGATCAAAGAGGCCTCTGGGCGCCCTCACTGTATCAGGGTCACAGCAGCCAGTACATCCACCCAGGGCCATGGAGTAGATTGACCAAGGACCATGTCTGCCCAGTATACTGTGGCTTGTAGGAAACAGGGTGGGTTTGGGCAAAAAAAATTAAGAAATTGCAGGTACCAGAGGGGTCTTTGGGCTCTTCAACTCTGTTTCTCCTTTCTAATAATGCAGAAGGCATT